GAATCGGTACTCTTGTTTAATGCTTGAAATTTTGTAAAGACTTTAGAAATAAGCAGTCTTAAGAGTATTAGTTTTGACAATTGCACAACCTCAGTCTTCTTTTTGGCAATGAGATTTCAGAGTGTATTAAATTTTTAATCTAAGAATTATTGATCTATAAGGAATGTTAAAAAGACAACCAAAATCTTTTATTCTGTTTATTAAAAGAAAGCGAGATTCTATTTTAAAACCCTAAAGGAGAAACTTTATAACTCTCTGCTTCCAGTTGTTCCAACATTTACATTTTCTTAGCCACTGGACTTCCCCGGTGGCTCCGACGGTAAAGCGTCTGTCTACAACGCGGGAGAGTGGGGTTCGATCCCTGGGTCGGGAAGAGCCCCCTGGAGAAGGAAGTGGCACCCCACTCCAGTATTCTTGCCTGGAAAATCCCATGGACGGAGGAGCCTTGTAGGCCACAGTCCATGGGGTCGTTATGAGTCAGACAGGCTGAGCGACTTCACTTTCACTTTCACTTTCTAGCCATTGGAAAGTTCTTTGTATCCTATCTAAATACAAAGCTCTTTGTTGTAGTTCAGAGTTATCTATTAAAATCAAGGACAGTTGGTTATGATGTCAATTTCACATTAATTAATGAATCCCTGCTTAATATAAACTCATTTTGAAGTGGTTCAAGCTGCATTGTTAAGGGGATGGATTTAAAATTGTTTAGTGTCTTTTTCCAGGTTTTCATGAGAAAAAAATTAACTTTTCAAAGTTGCTGTCTTTATTTATTAGTCCAGTCAGATTAAAGATGATATTCAGCTTAGCTGCCTCCAGATTTTCAGGTGCAGTTTTTCTTAGATTGGGGTTTCAGTAGTTTCTTTAGGCTCAAGTGCTTTAGAAATTCCGCTTAACCAATGGTGGCCAAGGGTGAGGGGAGGAAAGAGGGAATTAGAGGAGGGGAGAAGAAGCAGGCCGTCTGTGGAAGAAAGAGGAGGGGAAGATCGTGGAAAGATGGGAAAAGAAATGGGGAGTAGATGAAGGAGACCAAGGTCGATGGTGCTAGAGTGTCGCCAGCGGTCATGTGAGGTGCCGCGTAGCGCATCCTGGACCGGACAGGGAGCCCACTGAAAGTGGGAGGTAATTGGCTTCAGGGCCTGTCTGGGTCTCTTGCTACTGTCTGCGTTGTCTCACACTCAGACTGAGGCTCGTTTTGAAGTGGTATGTTGGTTGTTACCTACCTGTTAAGGACTCAGGCAGAAAATTGTGAGGGATTTCAGAGCAGCATAAAAACCAGTGAACCTTGTTCTTAGACGCCTTAGTTGAGCGAGATTGCAGAAAACCAGTAGAGGATAGCACCTTGCCTGTCTCCTGAAGTGCCTGTCAGACTTTTCTGTCCAGGTATTTCTGACTGTACAGGTGGGATGAGATGGGGGCCTCTGAGACTAGTCACATGATCCTGACGCTGCTTTGAAGTCTTTTTATCTTGCAAATCCATGCAAGGTTTACGTTCTGTTCCATGATGGGTCTGTGTTTCTTTTAATAATAAAACAACATCCTGCCCCCTCTCACATGTAAAAATCTTTGATGCTCAGGAAGATGCACTGCGCTTATGGTAGCATCAGGAGCGCCCCCACCCCCCGCCCCGCCCGCACACGTGGTAACACCTTTCACCCCCAGTCGCCTTCCTAGCAGTGATCTGGGGAGCAGGCAAACACATAGTGTTTGGTCGTCTAGGCTGCACTGGTGCTGGCACTTTGGACCTTAGCTGAATTTGAAAGGTCCCTTTATAAATTTTATTAGCCATTGGTTACCTTGCGAAGACTCAGCCCAGTGACCCTTTGCTCAGCTGTGACAGGAAACCTTTGTGAGCAGAGGCTCGGGGTGTGATTCTGGTGTAGAGCTCCTCGGGGCCTGCTGTTAGCCCCTCCAACACGTGTCTGATTTTCACAACCTGATCTGAGCTGATGGGGTCAGGTGCTCCCCCTGCCCTTGAACACACAAACGTAGTATTCTTTCTTCTCCAAAGTCATTCTACAAAGTAAGTTCTCCATAAGGATGCTTGGAAATTTTAAATAATTCGTATAAAATGTTACAGTTCCTTACATATAGTAAGCAGTCAGCGGATGTTAGCTACTGTTTTATTGTTGCAACTATCATTATTGCAATACATGCCTACTAGCAACAGTCATACACAGAAAGTTAGACTTGGAGGTGCCACATTCAAAACAGATGGCTGGTCATTAATTTGGGACCCTGAGTTGTGAACATATAACAGCTTTGTAAAAGTAAGGGATATATAGTCCTTGCTGTATGATTAAAGAAAATAACATAGCATATTCTTGAGCAAGATATTTAAGAAGAAAGCCATTAACCCTGCTAGGGGGGAAACTGACTTTGACTTCACGTTCTTCAGCAACATAGTAAGTCATAGAGTTCTGCAGAGCAATAGTGCCTAGCAGGGACCTAGTTTGTACTGCTTATGTGTTGGTTTGAATGAATCAAATATGTTGAGACCTCCTTATGGAGACCTGAATGTATACATGCCTGGTTAAGCAAGACATCTGAATGTTACTGAATGTTTAGCAAGAAGCCATTTCAGAATTTTGAATAGGTAAGTGATATAATCCATTGCCTGCCTTAGGCTAGAGGGAAATGTGCAAAAGGTTATATATGATGACAGGGCTGTGGTAAATTTCTTCTACTTTCCAAATGTTTCCGAAGTTTCTAGAGCACTCTTCTGAAGGTGATGGTGTCTCTCTGTGTGGATGCCAGGAATGGGGGTGGGGGTAGTGTATTTGAATCTGGGAGGGGTAGTGTAAGTACTTTGAATGAGAGCCCCCAAGGAATGGTCCCTCAAGAAAATCTCCTTCCAGGAAATCCGTAAGTGTCAGAATTGTAGATTATAGAGCTAAATTTAACCTAGAGGCCCTCAGATCTAATCCTCATGTTAGGATGAGATCAAGTGAATTCCTCAAGGCTCTTAGGCCAGGACTCTCCGTTCCTAGTCCTCCACTGTCTCAAATATATCATACGACACGTTAAAGTAGAGGATCGCTTCTCAGCCTTTTGGCTAAGTTCAAGTGTAAAGTTGTAGAGCAAACTGTAGGCAGACAGATTCTTAAGGAGGACTGACCTGTTGTAGCTTCATCTTCCCTGCTCCAACAAGCCTGAATCAAGTTTTCATGTCATTTCACTATATGTTTAAAACTATACCATTTAGATATTCGTGTAGGTTAGTAAGTATAGAATGAAAATAAAGATCTCACCATCCCAGAGGCAAAAACTAAAATATTTTGTTGTATTTTCTCACCAGTGTCTTAGGAAAAAATACATATTTTAAAAATTAAGATTCTATTGTTTTATAGCTTGTTTTTTAAAATTTGCTATATCCAGACATTTACTTACATACTTCAGCCTTGTGTGAATACATCATTTAAAATGCTTATGTAGTAATATTTCATCGATGTGCCAATATATGTTTAACTGAACCTCTGTTGTCAGATAGTAAGGTAGTTGTCAGTTTTTCAAATTGGCTATTTCATGACTGCAAATGGCTCTCAGGGGATTGGGAGACTTGTGGTCATTCACACAATAACTTGCGTTAGTGAAGTATCTGTGTTTTCTTCTTACCAGCCCGCTGAGAGCAGCTGCGTGAGAGAGCAGAGATTGCCATTTGGTGGAGAGCAAACTGGGGGAGGACGGACTGGGTGGGAGCTAGTGTGGAGGGTGTCGCCGAACGGAGGCCTTTGGCAACCCAGGACGGGGTGGGAGCTAGTGTGGAGGGTGTCGCTGAACGGAGGCCTTTGGCAACCCAGGACGGGGTGGGGACAAGGAAGAGGGTTGCTGCAGTGGAGTAATTTCAGTAGTCTGCATAGAAATGACTCTTTTTTCTGATGCGTGTCAGACCTTTACTTTAAGACTTAAAACTCAAGCTGTATTACAAATCTTTTTGAATTTCCAACATAGTAGATTCACTAAGTATCCGTTAAAAGACTGGGCACCTGAGCATGTCTTCCATATGTTATTATTGTCCAAGTTCCAACCTAACTACTTACAAAGCCTTTTCAGCATGATTGTGAGTTGTGGGCTACCTGCAGACAAATAGCAAGCATGTTTTGTCAGTCTAATGGAAATGAAAGGGCAGATATATTCAGGCTTAGTGACTAGTTGGATCTTATTAGGAAAGGACAAGAAGACATCAAAACATGAGTTAGCTAAAAACCTCAAAAATGGTGAAGTGAGGAGTTATTGCTGATTTGTGGAGAAACCTGAAAGATGACACCTGAAAACTATATTACATTTCAGGAACTTGTGCTGGTGAGAGATAGGGATAACACAGATAAAACTGTAATTTGGAGATATTCTAAAAGCCCTTATCTTAGCCAGTAGTTTCAGTTGTGGCTTAAAACATTGTATCTGTCTGTACTTCTGAATAACAAAATGAGTAAATTTGCATTTCACATGCTCCTTCTTTAGTTGAAAACAATTGATTATATAGAAGAGGGGTGATGTTATAAACTGGGTCTTAGTTCTGCTGCTGATTTACTGTATGACATTGGACAAGACATTTCACCTTTCTGGTTTCTGGTCTGTAACTCAAAGGGTAATTAATACTGGTTTAGATAATTTTTGAAGTTCCTTCTGAAACCTAGAGTCTTTATTTCGAAAACAAAAAATGACCTCTGAGATAGAGTTGACTGTATATTCTCAAATTTGAAAAATTAAGCAAAATGCTGATCTAGTAGATTCATGTAACTTTTAAGTATAGCATCTTGAAGGTGTCCCTCTATCAGCTAAAGAACAAATGTCTCAGTTTAATATATGACTGCATAGAAAAAAAAAAATGCAACCACAGTAGGTGACCAAATGGATAAGTAACTTTCAGGAATTTTGAAAGCCCAGTAGTATTTAGTATGTGCTCTCTCAGCATTAAAAAGGTCACCTTGCTAATACATGTTAATTTTGAGAGTTTAATTGACCTTTAGAATTTTAATATCCACCTTTTTTGGTGTGTTTAGAGGTTGGAGCAATCACGGAAGAAACTGCAGCCTGTGATTGGTGGAGTTTGGGTGCTGTCCTCTTTGAACTTCTCACTGGCAAGGTAAGCAGTGACCTGGAGGTTTAATAAGTTTATCCAGATGCTGCCTTGATTTCAAATTGAGAATATTTAGCCTTTGCCTTTAGTTTTTAGGTTGGGGACTAAGTAAGAAAACCTTGATATCAAAAGAGATGGGACACCAGAAAAATGTAAATTTATCAAGATTCCAGATTTTTTAAAAAGTAGAATTGTATTACATTGAATAAATTGATAGTAAAATTCTCTTATGTCACAGTGTTAGTACATAGCAAGATATAAGACTAGACATTCTTTCTCTTCTTTCTCTGTGATTCAGTTTTAACAGAGTTAAACCTGTAAGGGTTGTGTAAGGATTTGTTAGAATTCTCTGTTTTAAACACCTGTCTGAAATCAGGTGGGAATTATCATTTTAGAAAATTAATGTAGATATTAAAGGTAGCATGATTTTTTTTCTCAATACTGTAAATTTTTCCTCTCTGTTCTGGCTTAAGTACAGAATTCGTACTTTCTCTGGTCAATATCTTTTAAGTAAGATATCTGAAGTTAATAGATTCTAATAGAGTATTGTGCAGATTGCCTCCTGGGACTAAAATAGAGGAAATAAACAATCATACCTTTGTAAGCTGTCATCTACCTTAAATATGTAGTTGATACTGAGCTCCTAACATTGTTGTGAAATATACAAATCACCTATAGATATTAATACATTTGAGCCATAAGGTGCTATACATATATAAAGCATTATTATTAATAAATTCTCGACTTTGGATGTTTTTAAGAACATTAAAAAATTTTCGAGATACCGAATCCTGTTTTAGGTTTTGGCTGTAATGGAATCTTTCTATTATGGGCCGTTTTCTTTATATTCAAGGAGAAAGGGCAAGTGGCATAAGCTTATGATGCGATTTTTGAGGACTGCCTTTTTTCCAGTTAGAAGTTCTTTAGGGCTCATAGCCTTTGTCCTAGACTGCTTAGAGGGCACTGCGGCGAAGGTGGTTGTTGAGCTGTCTGTATTTGCTGTCTATAAACCCTGTGATGGAACAGAATATGATGTTATTTCGGATAAGAAGTGTATGTGATTGATTGTTTCAGACTCTGGTTGAGTGCCATCCAGCAGGAATAAATACTCACACCACTTTGAACATGCCAGAATGTGTCTCTGAAGAGGCTCGCTCACTCATTCAACAGGTAATTTAATTGACCTATTGGCCAAGAATATCAACCATGCAAACTGGCAGAGCCCACAGCTCTAAAACCTTAAAGAAATTCGTTTTGGGCAAGAAGGACCCATTAGTAATTACACATTCAGAACTAGTACTGTGTATCTTTAGGCTTCTGTTATTATCTAAGTATTGGTGATGTCAGAACAGTTCAAAGTTGTATTACATTTTTTTATTTCTGAAATCCAGGCTAATGTTTAGTCAGTTCCATATATCTGTGTAGGCGTGAGATTTAAGTATTGCTTTTAAGCCTGTCTGTAGCTGCTTTATATTTTGTAACCATGTATGAATGGCTCTTTTTTTTCCTTTTTTTTTTAAAGTTATTGAAGCGTTTATTCCTTAGAGCTAGTCTCGACATTTCATAAATGGCTATTTTAAAACTTTAATTCATATTGATTAGCTTAGGACTTGGCTGGTTGGGAGAGAAGTGGTAGAAAATCTTGCCAAGTTAAATCACTTTAGATCTGTTCATGGAACTTGAATATTGCTGTCAGTTACTGTATTTCTGGTGGCTTTGAAAAAAGAGACTATTGATAATTAAAGTTTGGTATCCCAGAGGCAGGCTTACTCTAGTGAGCTCCTTAAATTGATTCCCTACATTTAAAATGCTTGTCTAGCTTTATGGCAGACTCACCACAGATCAGCAAGAATTGTCAGAACTGCGATCCCTTACGCTTTTGGGAAAATATCAAGGGAAAACTTATTTGAAAAAGATGAAGAACCAAAGTTTTTGTTTAATGAAAGATAAATTATTTTTTAAGTCAGGGAAAACAAAATTTGTTAAAAAGAGAGCGGAAAAAGAGGAGGGGATAATATATTAAGAAAAGATTTACCTAGTATTTTCTTAGGCAGTGATTTTGATTCCATTCAGCAAATATAGATAAAGGCATGGTATCACAAGCTGCAAACCTGAGACTCACAAATAGCTGTATTACAGATGGATTTGATAAAGGCTATCAGAGAGGTTTAAAAAATACTTTGGCAAGTCAGGATAAAGAGGTGTTATAACTGATGCAGTGGTGGTGTTAGGGAAGTTTTTGTGTAGTGAGTGTTATTTTTGTGGAGCCTTAGCCAGAATTTTGGCATTGCAGGGTTAGATGTGGGGGAATAGCTGGGTGGAATGAAAAGTCTGAACAAAGGCAAGGACTGAGTCAGAAAGACTCAATTTGGGAAATCAAAAGTTTGGTTTCTCTAGAGTACAGGGTGAATATAGGGATGAGTAATAGTAGTAAATGAGTGTGGAAAGAGAAGCTGGGATTCTCTTATCATGAATACCAGGGGAGGATGATAGCATTTAATTCAGTAAAAAAGTTGAGATTTGAAGTTTTTGTGCACAAAGAGTGAAAGGATCAGAGTTGCGCTTCAGGAAGACTCATTTGTCCAGAGTATGTAAAATAAAAAGAAACATAATTAGGTTGAAAATAGTGAGACGAGAGTACCCTGAACACTTTGTACAAGTATTAAGAGGTAATATAAAGATTCATAAAACATTGCATTCTAATGGAGAGAAGGGACAGCTCCTCCTCTATTTTCCTCTTATTTGTTGTAGAACAGCAAGCTAAATTCAAAGTATTTTTTTGTCTATTAATTTAAGGAAGGCTAGCAACTGCTGTTGTTTGTTTCTCTTTCTTAAAGATGTAGTCATCATGACAAATATTGAGAATAGAATTCCCTGCATTAATTAATAAAGGTCTGCTGCTCTTGTTTATCAGAATTTATATTGTAAGGAGTCTGAGCTTAAGGTATGTTAAGTTCCCCTATACAGATGTGTATATATCTTACATAGTATACTTACATAGTATATAAGTATACTTACATAGTAAAGCAGCATTCTGTCCCTGGCCTGCCTAAGGAAACTACCACTCACGTTAAGGAAACATCATCAGGAAAGGGAAAAGAGGTCTCTTGGCATGATTAGCAATCTGTCATTTTGACTTTCCTCTTCCACTACCTCACAGTTCATAGAGGTTATTTTAAAAAATCATCAAATGATTTATATGGAAAGAATTATTCCACTTTGAGGAGATTTTCCTCTCTTTGGTCTTTTAGCTGCTTGCTTTCTTCCTAGAGTTCATAATTCCCTGTACCCATGGTTTAGTCATCTCAGTCCAAGTGAATGGTGCTAAAGTAAGCATAGTTACATTTTGAATACAATTAAAAATATATATATATATTTATAATTTACAGAGCCTCAGAGCATGCACGTTGTACTTCACAGTGTACATTTAGTTCTTTATGACACAATTGCTTTGTCAGTTGAAAGATACTATATGAGAAAAAGAGCATCAAAACAAATTTCTGTGCTTCAATTGCTCAGCTTTGTTGTCTATTCTTTAAGAGAAAGGAAGTTGACAGTGATTGTCTTGGTTTTGCCACTGGTCAACACATTCTCTTAGCAGAAGAATCTTTGTGAAATCTCTCAGAAGATCTGGAATAGTATTAATATTTTAAATGGCAGAATAAGCAAGATGGGCATGGGTAAAACAGTTATATTTTTGCCTATGGATTTATACTTACAAGTTTATAGATGAGGAATTTCATAATGAGGTCATGTTTTAGAGAGAATAGGGGTGGAAAAACCAATAGTAACAAGAAAGAGAGAACTTAATATTTACATATTTGCTGAAATGTTAAAAAACATGCTATAGTTATAGTTAATTCTTACCAATGTGTGGTATTTTAGTTTTATATTCAAATGTTTGATGCCTTCCACATCTCAATCAGTAGATATGAATTGTCTGATTTTGAAAATGGATTTGTTATGTTAGAATATTCTTAGATGTTTATTTTATAATAGCAGCTTTTCTCTTAACACACTTAGCAACTTCTAATATAAAAATTCTTTGTACTCAATACACTTTAATAAAATGTCATTTTGAATGTTGGATACAATAATTTCAAGTGAAAAGACTGAGAGTACAGTCTTTTGAAGTATATACTTCACTGCCCTAGTGGATTTGGTAATATCAAAGTGAAGTAATAGATTCTTGGCATTTGCAGATCACACACTCATAAGGCAGTGTAATGTTGTGGTTAACAGCATGGATTCTGGAGACTTAGTACCTGAATTCAGATCGTATCCTTGCTGTCTACTACCTACTATGACCTTAAACAAGTTTCTATCTTCTCATCTATAAAACAGAGATAATTATAGTAACTATTCATAGAGTTGTTGTGAGTTCAATGAACTAATTTATACAAGACAATTATAACAATGCCTAGTACACAGTAAGTGTCACATAAATATTTTGTATTATTGTTATTGATAGAACAACATTGAGAGCTTGTGACGTAGTAATTTATAATTTGACGAAGCATATAGTTGAATTATAGTATAGGGTTGCCAGTGTAAGAGTGAGGCAGCTGCTGGTGATATATGTTGAAAAGGTCTAGAAAAGTAGTGGATTGGCACCCAATAGGAAATCAACTGACATTTTTATATAAATAATTGAATTAATGATTAGTGAATGAAAGAAAAAATAGAAATAAAGGAAAAAGAAGAAACAAATGTGTAGGTTTAATTTGAGTAGTGGGATTTCCTATAGTTGTGGAACCATTAATGTAATCATCCAAATATTTTATTGCGGTTGACTAAATTCTGAGGAAAAAAATTAACATGGTTTTGGGATATTCTCAGATACAAATGACTAGCCATATATGAGAAGGTTGGAATGTTCTCTTCTCAAAAAAGGAATTTATAAAGTTGGACAGACTTGGCAGCCCTTTTCAATCACTGGTTGACCCCTAAGCTAAGCAGGCACAGGGGTGACCCTTAGAAAACCAAGCTTAAAAATGAAAACTTAAAACTTGTTTTCTTGAGAAAGAAAAAAAAAATGAGCAGGGCTATCAACCTCTGCTTATTATAGTTGAGGGTGGGGGTGAGGGGAAAGCCAATTTACAAATCTAGCTGAAAAAAGTTACCAAACAAAGAATAAACCAACAAATAGCAATGATAACCATCTTCATGGAAAAAATAAGACTCTAGAGTCACTAAAATGTATTGTCTAAGACATCTCATTTTCAGCAAAGTATTGTCAGATATTCACAGAAACAAAATAGAGAAAAAAGCAGTCGATAGAAATTGCTCTTGGGTGTCCCCAGAGTTTGGATATAATGAAGACTTCAAAGCAGTTATTATAGTTATATGCAAAGAATTAAAGGAATCTGTGTGTAAATAACTTAAAGGAGGGCTTCCCTGGTGTTACAGTGGATGGGAATCTGCCTACCAGTGCAGGGGACACAGGTTCGATTCCTGGTCCAGAAAGATTCCACATGCCCTGGAGCAACTCAGCTGGTGTACCACGGCTACCGAGCCTGCAGTCTGGAGCCTGCGCGCGGCAGCCGCTGAAGCCCGTGCGCCCAGAGCCTGTGCCCCACAACACGGGCACCGCCACAGTAAGAAGCTTGTGTGCCGGGACGGAGAGAGCAGCGCCTGCTCGCTGCAGCTGGAGAAAGCCCGCATGCAGCAGCAAAGACCCAGAACAGATGAAAATAATTAATTAATTAGAAAAGAGTCAAAGGAAGCTAAGACAATAATGAATCACTAAATAAAGATTCTGAATGAGATAGAGATATATTAAAAAAAAAAAAGGAACCAAATAGAAATTCTTAAGTTGAAAAGTACAATAATTGAAATGAAGAATTAAATAGGTGAAAAAAATTCCCTGGAGCATCTCAATAGCACATTTGAGATAGATGAAGGAAAAGTAAAAGAACTTGAAGACCAGGATGATAGCAATTATCCAATCTGAAAAACAGATTAAAAATGTTTGAAGAAAAACGAACAGGGATATGGAGACCTGTATACACCAAAGTACATATAATGGGAGTTCCAGAAAGAGAGGACATACAGAAAAGGGCAACAAAAATGTTTAAGACATAATAGCTAAAAGCATCACAAATTTGATGAAGAACATTGAAATGCATTCAAGAAGCTTAGTGGTCATTAAGTTGGAAAATACAGAGAGA